GCACATGCCATTAAGGTAAAAGCTCAAAGGGGTATGGGGACTTAAGGATCCCAGAGTACCGCAAACTCAGTAATATGACGTAATTCATCTTTCCTGAGTTCATTAAACACGGATATGATTAAGGACAGGCTAGAGCGAACCTCCAATGAACGAGTATCAGCACAAAGTCTTCCTCTTATGATAATACATGATTTATAGGCCTGTCATTGGCTGTCGTAAGTGTCACGTGGAAACGCTGGACTTCATATCGGGAGATATGAATCCTGTCGTGACGTCATAAGACGAAGTACCTGACGAGTCAGTAAAGTGATTGCACGATGGCGTTCGATTTGGGACGGTGGCAGGGATGTTTCTCTTCGCTACCAACCCCTGGTTATATCTAGCCTCCTGTATAATGGAAACAGGCGGTTCTTTACCTGAAGTTACAGCGGCTGGAGCATGAAGCTGATCATTCAACTTTATACAGAGAGTAACTGAAAAGTGCGGACAAATTTTGGGCACGAATTCTACATGTAAAATCAAGAAAAAAGTCCATATCAGTATGTATCCGGAAGCATTTAATTTATGAATTGTAGATGTGGAATGCTGCCGTGACCTATGCGACTGCTGTCATCTACTTTGTCGGTAATCTTAGACGTAATGCCGTGTGACGTGTGTCGGTAGGTTCCAGTTTTGCGGAGAAATCTCTCTCCGTTTTTAATATAGAAGAATATCACTCAGTAATTTTCATGTAACTGCGAATTAATGTTTTAGGAACAAAAGCTTCCTTTTGCTTGTGAAGTAAATAGAGTTTAGCAATACTTCGTCAGTCAAAATTCTACACACTTAAACTGTGAGATTTATTCAACTAAACTTAAATAGACCTAATATGTTTAGTTCTTCACTCCGAAGACCTGCCAACATTTTGAAAGAACCTACTGCATCTACCTTCTAAAGCATAGATGTTGCTCTGATGGTGGAAGCGACGCGTTCCTCCGAAATGGCATCGGAAACTCTACGGCATCATAATACAGAAGACCGCTATCCTAAGTCAATATGTGGTTACACTGTACGCTTCAGGCGATTTTGATCATGTTCTTCGTTTGCCCCCTGCTACTCCTTATTTCATTTGAGTGAAGGCGCCCATTGCGTTTGAAAATGGGAACGAAACCGACTCTGTGTGAGCACAATGCAACATTATTTATATGCTTTGCTCTACAATCTTCATCTGTCAGCCATCTTGTGTGAACTGGCGCATGAGCAGACAGCGCTACACTAGCGCGCTCGGGAAGAGTAGGAACTAATCTCCATGATCTAATGTAAGGGCGTGGGCACATCAAGGAAACTGGCAACCGCAACGCAACCGCAATTTCAGAAAATTGTTATCAGCCTGAGTTGAACACATGTTACTGAATGGAGCAGCGCAAATTGAGGAAAAGGAAATTTCGGTTGCGTTGCCGTTGCCAGTTCCTTGGTGTACCCTCGCCGTAAGTTTTACCATCGTTCATTGCAAAGTTGAATATTTAATACTAAATCAAATACTGGGCCGCGCCATAGTTCAAGCGGTTAGTCGCTGGCTTCCCACCGCGGCGGCCCGGGTCCGATCCCGGGTCTTGTGAAGTGGGATTTGTGGTGGGCAAAGTGACACTGGTGCAGGTTTTCTCCGAGTACTTCGGTTTCCCCTGCCAATCTTCATTCCACCAATTGCTCCACAATCACCCTCACCTACCATCTGGGGCTGGTACAATAGGCCAGAAGTGGCCGCTGTACAAGGGACTTACTCCCACCCCGCTAGCAATAAAAGAAAACCAAATACTGGCTCATTTCGTGCGCCACTGTGTACATTGCTTCATATGCAACCATCAGTGTCAGCAATATGTGCGGTAAGCCTGTCCAGCCGCCACAAGGCCGCAAAGTTCTACCTCAGGCTACGGTCCCGGGCCCGTCACCGAATCCGAGTAAGGAGGTTCTCTTACATAAATGTTGTACCGAACGTCATAACATCTGATGAGTCCTGTCTTCTGGGATATAACGCCCGTGTAGTCCGTTGGAAGTCAACCGATGTTTCGGAGGAACATATCGCATCTATCTTCAGGGTCGAAGAATAAATCAAGCAAGAAACCAGGTTGTCACTTGCTTTCATGCTAGTTTCTTGCTCGACTTATTCTTCGACACTGAAAATGGAGGCGACATGTTACTTCGAAACGTCGATTGACTTTCAACAGATTACACGACATATCCCAGAAGATAGAACTATGCGAGACAAGCTGTGAGAACTTGAAATCCTACATTTGTAATATTTTTAATGAAAAAATGCACTTCATTAATTACATGATAGGATCAGCCAGGATAGCTCAGTCGGTATAGGGACTAGACTACACAGACTGCACGACCGAGGAGACAGTGTTCAGTTTCCGGTAGGAGCAACAGATACTATTCTTCTTCACAGCAGACAGACCAATTCTGGGGACAACCCTATCCACTGGATACAGGGAGCTCCTTCCCCGGGGTTGAGGAGTCCTGGATGTCTGAAGCTGACCCCATAGGTCAATCTGATGCCAAGGTTAAGAATGCATGGAGCGATACCTCCATTTCGTCATGTCTTTATGGCGTGGTGCTTAATTAAGCACAGAACAACTTTTGAGGTTTACACTGTGGTGGTTGTTCAAATTGTGGTGTTCTGGTTTGTGACACCATTGGTCGGTAAGTCGGGTGAATTGCTGCTGGGCTCGCCAGCACAGTCATTCTTTGTTCAGGGTCCCACAGGAGTCATGACAATATTTTTCTGTGTCACGGTTCTGGGAATTGTGTGACACCGTGTAGTTTCGAAGGCGTGTATGTATATCCTCCTAGGAGTCAACACGTGTCACATTTACGAATACCACATTTTACCCATTTTAGTTTCTGGCACATAATAAAACGTATAATTAATTGAGATCAGTATCTTTTGCTTGAAGCATTTCCGATGTGATGAATATTTTACGAGGTTCGAGGGAGGAATTAGTGCTTTCTTTAGCTTACAGATCTTTCCGCATTTGTATAGGCTGCCCAAATTTTGAGTGTACTTGGATTTTGCGGTTGGGATCAGGGCGAAAAACAATCCGTTGAAGTAGTTTCTAGTGCTTCAACGCAAGTTCACCATTGCTGAGCATGTACGGAAACTCACAGTCTTGGGTAGGGAAATGTGTTGCACCCCTGGTCTTGTTAATCTGGCGGCCAGCCCAACAGCCATGGGGCGGATGGAGCTAGCTAGCAGCGTGCCGAGTGCAAAACTCGAGCTCTTTCTTCAACCAGAGTGAGACTCAGTAATACTCGGTAGGCCTAATGAGATAGAAGTGTATAATCTTGACTCGAGTTACACAAAAACGCACCATTTACGTAACACCACGTGATCCGAAATAAACGTGTAGTATCTATAATTAATCTATTAGTTGTATCAGCATAATGTAATACATTCATTGGTTTCAAAAACGTGTGTTTTATGAGAAAAAACGTACGGACTTTTTCTTGAAACTATTGTTTGTCAGTGATATTTTGTTTCTACCGCAGCAGAAGATGAACTTTTCGTGTATGCGTATTCCTTTATGCTGTGTTGTGACTTAATGTGTAACAATGGAGTTGGAAAACGAAACCATTAACGTGAGATGACATCTGTTGGATGTTAAAAGTGTTGGCCGTGCATTTATGTTATGCATGCTACGTAATGTGGGCATACAGAAGTGGTTTTCATTACGAGTTTATTGTAAAAGTGTAATAACAATTGGAACTTTCGTTGTGAAACGTAATTGAACTGAACTGGAAGTGGACTTCATTTTTGTGATAATTTAAAACCCGATCGATTATCCAGTTACGTACCTGATTTATTGAATTTTATATGTTATATACTAACAGTGTTATGGAACGTGGAAGTTAGTTTAGAATATGTTAATAGAATAAGATGAAGTGAGATTGGAAAAATGAAATTCATTGGCCTTCATAGGCAAATCAGACACGCGGTACGTGGATGTGCCAGAACTTGAACAAACTTTTATTTCTAATGGTTGTGTTTTAATTCCGTAATGTTGGTAGTATTTTTCTGTGTAATGATGAAGATCTTAGAATTCTCCTCGGGCCACGTTATTGTTAACAATAACATCAGGAACAAGAACAGAAACAATAGCATTAACAACAGGAACGACATCAAGTCACGCCAGAGCCTCAAAAGATGTCGCCGAGGTAAGCATCACGATTACAAGACCGTATCAATAAATTTGTTTATCTAATGACGCTGTCGTTATCTCAGACTGTTTAGTCGATTGACACAGTGAATAATGACGTGGAAGGAAACCTTTGGGCCCTAATTTAAGATAGTATCCTGGCGCATGCATGGAGGAACCGTTCTGTACCACGAAAAACCTGTCAGGATAGACGGTGACCTGGCCGATGTTCGAACCGGACACGTTCCAAATACAAGTCAGAATCGTTACCGCTTGAATCAGTTTCATTACAAGATTAGCATAATATTGCTAATATCAAAAGAAAATTTAAACTCTTGCTGTAATCTTGAATTTTCCGTGTATGTGGACACAATTCGACCCCCCGTTTCTGGTGACCCGCTCGTAAATTACATACTTGGAGCAGGCAATGCAATGTCTAAGAAGTATGACGTAAAGGTAAAAGGTAAAGTTGTCCTTAACTAATTAAGCACTACTCCATGGAGGCGTATGGGGGAGTGGATGTATAGTTCCACATTTTCTTGAACTGGGCACTAGTTAGAGGTGAGTGGTCAGCTTCAAGCCCCGTCCGCTTTAACCCCGGAGATAGAGTCCCCGGTGCCCATTGGATAGGAGGTTGGGTGAACCCCAGAACCAGTCTGGACGACTTGGAGAAGAGAAAATTTTTATCCCCATCGGGACTCGAACTCCGACCCCCTTGGTCATTCAGCCCGTATCCAATCGCTATACCGACTGCGCTATCCCGGCTCCCAAGAAATATGACGTAACTGAGAAATTTTGAATTTTGTAGTATTTCATAACAAGGATCTGTTATTTATACAGGTCAATTATTAGTATTATTATAACATTGAAACTAGGAAGCTTAAATTGCTGAGCGTGTGGCTGGAATAGAAGAGTAGAAATATTGCCAATACAAAAATTCTTGATGGGAAAACGTAAAGCGTCCACTTGAAAGACCGAGAAGGAGATGGGGGATGATATTGATGTGGATATTAAAGAGATAGGTGGTGAAGATGTGAATTAGTGTGTATATTCGTTTTATAATCGCATATGATTGAAGTCAAACGTTATGTAAGTTACGATGTATGGATAACAGGCTGGGAATAAATTTATCTTAGGTAGCCCACGCGGCACGTAGTCTGCATGGCCCCAGCACAGTTGCTGGTAGTGGCTATTGTACCGGAATAAATATAGTTTTATATTCTAACACATAATCAACAAAATAAGATTTTCAGGGAAGAGACCACTCGGGAAATCAAAGCGGAAATAATATTGAAACTAATTTTTAAGGAACAGGATATGAGAATGGATATAGGATTCAGGGACTTGGGATAGAGTCCAGTGGCGGGCTTTTATGGACGCGGTAATAAGTTTTCGGGTTCCAAGAAGGACAGACATTCACTTGACTACATGAAGCACCGCACAACGTTGAGTTGTTGTTATCGTGATAAGATGATAGTGAATTGTGATCAGGTGATAACCGCAGATATCAAATATAGTGTCCGCAGAACTCGAGAACTTACCATAAATTAGCTCCACACATAGTTTCTTTTAGTTGTGAGCCCGAAGGCACTGAGCATCAGTTACTCAAACAGGCGGAGAAAGTATTCATTTGATCATATAAAATCTGTGATACTGAATGATACGAGATGTTTGAAGGAAGATGCGTTGTGAAAAGCACTAAGTTGGATTTCTGTGCTCATCACGAAGTATTTTTTTAAAGATCTATTTTAATATCAGCTGTCATTTACGCCTAGGTCTTCCAAATGGTCTCTCATTTTTAGGTTTCCGCCTCAGATTTTGTAAGAATTTCGGTTCCCTGCCGAACGTGTTACACGCCTCGCCCATTTCCTCATCCTTGGTTCAGTCGCCCTAGTAAACAGTGAAGACAAAAGGTTTTGAAGCTAGTTATAATGTAGCCTTTTCCAGCCGCATGTTATGTATACATTATTTCCCACCAGTTTAATCGCACGGTGGACCGCCTCTGTGGTCTAGTGGTCAGCGTTCGTGGCTACAGCTCCAAAGGTCCCGGGTTTGATTCCCGGCGCTACCAGATTTTTTCGGAGGAGTGGGTCTGGAATGGGGTTCACTCAGCCTCGTGAGGATAACTAAGGAGCTCTTTCAAGGAAATAGCTGTTCCGATCTAGAAAACCGAAATTAACGGCCGTGGGAATTCGTTGCGCTGACCACGCGACACCCTCTATCCGCAAAAGTTGGCACTAAACTTCGCCGACAAGCGGCGGTCGCTCGGTTGGTATAGTTCGCATGCGGACTAAAATCACGGAGTTTTTTTTTTATCTCACGGAACTGGACCTGTACTGCAAAGTAAAGAAATTCGTTTCGTAGTAAGATAAATTGATAGGTTACTATAAGGATTAAGCAAAATTACAATTGGTTACAGCCATGGAAGTTGAATCCCGAGTTCTGTGAAATTCCATAACTTACGTTTACTGAGGTGTTAGTGTGTTAATGCAGTTTAGTTTCGTCAAATTGCCACTGAGAAGCTGCTACATGTGAATATTGTAGTGCTTGTTTTTGATTGCCACGTGAGTGCTGGTCATAGAGTTATATCTTCAGTGCTACGTTTGGAGATACGCGATAGCCACTGCGTGAATATTCCAGCGTTCTGCAGGTTCCTGAATTATCATCGTTATCTTACGAAATGACGTCCAAGCGGTCAAAGCCACGTCCGTTTTGTGAGTAATTATTAAGATGACACACTGGTTTCAAGTTAAGATTCTTCCTTCCCACACACACACGCGCGCACGCACACTATATGGAGCCGGGATAGCGCAGTCGGTATAGCGACTGGCTACGGGCTGGACGACCGAGGGGTCAGAGTTCGAGTCCCTGTAGGGTGAAGAGTTTTCTCCACGTCGTCCAGACCGGCTCTGGGACCCACCCGGCCTCCTATACAATGGGTACCTTGGGGCTTTTTCTGCGGAGGTAAAGCGGGCGANTATTTGCGACACTCGAATTCCGGTTTAAGTAACTGTGACATGGTTCCAAAATATGCGTATAAAAGGATAAAAGTAAAATTATCCCAGAACTTAACTGCTTAAGCATTACGCCGTGAAGACGTATGGGGGAGTGGAGGTATAGCTTCACCATTCGCAATCTCGGCATTAGACGAAGGTGAGTGCGCAGCTTCAAGCCCCTGCCGCCTTATCCCCGGAGAAACGACCCGCGGTGCCGATTGTGTAGGCTCGGTGGGCCCCAGAGTTGGTCTAATTGCTATGGAGAACAATTTCTTGCATCTACCGGAAATTGAACCCCTTCACCTCGGCCGTCATACCCGTAGCCTGAGCTTAAGGATTTGAAATCATTGGACATGTTAAAACACATTTAGCTTCCGAATTTCTTGAAGGCATGCAGAAATAAGTAGATGTCAAAATTAGAGAGAGCTCATTCATTACATTCTATGAAATGTGGAATTCTCTCGGCGGTACGTATTAAAATCACATCGTTTAGTAGCTCAGTAGGTAGAATTAGGTAACGAAGTTTCGGAGGAGTCTGCTGCTTACATCTTCAGTGTAGAAAAAGATGCTTATATTTTTAATTCTTTATGGGCGCATTTATGGGCTACTGCCCTGGGGTTGTGGGCCTGCCACAGAAGAGACTGTTGAGTTCTTCTCTCATAATGGGATGCGATGTTAACATTGCAGTGACGTTACAGGCTTCAACAAGCTCGTTGAGGTTGATTGACGACTTGACTACTTCGATTACTGTGTGGTCTCTCCCCTGTGCAATGTCCCCATCCTACGTAAGGCCCTGGGAAACAACGCGTTTTTAATACTGCAATGTCTACAGCACACCCGAAAGTTATTTACGTGTCTTTTCTACACGTGTTTTTTGCCTAGAAACTGAAGATTCAGATGTACAAACTGTAATTTATCTGCTGTTTTTTATGGCTGTAGAACGTGTTTTCTCGGTATAGGATGTTACAGAAAGAAGTACTGAGAAAAATGAGCCCGATTGGCCCATAAACTAAATAATGGGAAGCTGCAGATGCATGCATGAAGATAGACGCTACAGTTTGTATTCTGCCCTCAATATATATTTTTTTTCAAAATGGCTCTTTCAGCCCATTCAGGACCCAGGCCTCTTATTCTGTTTCATAATCATTTTACACAGACGGTAGGACTCCCTGGACGAGTGATCAGCTCGTCGTAAGGCCGCTACCTAAACACAGTACAATACAAACACAGCATAAACGCATACACACCAAACAACCATGCCCTGAGTGGGATTCGAACCCACAATCCCAGCGTCCGAGCGAGCGAAGACAGTTCATGCCTTAGACCGCGTGGCCACTGAGACCAGCCACCCAGTATTATTAGGGCGATCAATTCAGAGATGAGGAAAAAGGTGATTTGGAAGTTATTTCCTTAGATGGGAAGATGATATTAAACTGGATTATAGATACGTTATGAGGCTGTGGACAGTACTGTACGGGCTCCGGATAAGATCCAGTGACAAGTCTTGAGGGCACGTTAATGAACTTTCAAGTTCCATAAAAGGAGGGGAATTTCTTGACCGGTTGAGCGGCTGTTACCGCCTCGATACTGGATTATGTTCCATGGAGTAAGTGTAAGGCCGTGATCGGTTATTTCCCATGTGGTGCAGGGGTTTCGAATTTCTTTATGTGGTTCATTGTCACTGTTTCTAGGTTGTTACGATGTGGCATCGATGCGCAATAAATTACTTGAGATATCGACGAGCTAATCGAACTCTGTCGAACAGAGTCCATTTTGGGGAGGTAATTATGTCTCACTTGTCAAATTTTCCGCCTTTTTTGGAATTCGAAGTTTTATTGAGTGTTCAGAAGAATCCGGCACTGGTTCATGCACCAAGCCACATCCTCACACCACAGTTCTTTAATACCCGTCTCATATTGTTCTCCCATCTCCAAGACATCTCTTCCTTTTCGGTTTTCTGACCAGAAGTTAGTATGCATTGCTGTATCTCCAGTACGTGCTACATACAATTCCCATCTCATCC